TTTACTTAAGAGCCGGATATCAATTTACTTAGTAAGTTTTCGAGAAAATGTTGCAGGAAAATTTTTTCTTCTTGTTTCTAATTTGGTAAAGTGATCTACGGGAAGAGTTCTACTATGTCTATTATAAATACTGTAAATTATTTAAATTTTAAATATTTATATATTTTAAGTTTTCTTAATACATTATCTAAAAATAACAAATAATTCTTTAAAATCAAAGTGAGGCCGTCCTGCCAAGTCCTCTTCAACAACTAATAATACTTCTAAATCATCTTCTTCAACAACTAATAATACTTCTAAATCATCTTCCTCAACAACTAATAATGCTTCTAAATTATCCTCTTCAACAACTCATAATACTTCTAAATCATCCTCTTCAACAACTAATAATATTTCTAAATCATTTTCGGCTAATGATTTATCTTCAAAAAAAAAAGAAAGAAGACCTATTTGAACAAATAATGAAGATGATAACAAAATAGTTAAATCTCCAACTACAAGGACGAGAAATTTAAAAAAATCTAAAAAAGAAAAAAGATCTATTCAAATAAATAACGATAATGATAATGTGCTTGAAATTTTAACTCCAAGGCAGGAAAGTCTATTAGGGAATTCAAAGAAAGGTATAAAAATTCGTGAAATTAATTAGGTTATATAAATTAATTAATTTGTTTTATAATCGGATTAAATTTTGAAAATTTTTTATTAACAACCAAGTAGTTTTTAAAAAAATTAAAATTTTATATAAAAATCACAATGTATAGCTATATATTTAATATTACAATATCACTGTATTTTTTTAAACCTTCTATATTAGATCCTTTGCCAAATGATAATAGAAGTGAAATATTACTAAAAGAAAATAAAGATATCTTGGCAATGTTACAAGATCAAGATATGCAAAATGAAGATGATAAATCATCAATTTGTTAGTATTATTATTATTATTATTATTATTGTTGTTGTTGTTGTTGTTATTGTTATAAATTTAACTATAAACCATTTTATTTAATAGCTTCTTTACTAGAAGATAATTATAATTATTCTGAAGGGTTTATATCAGGTATTTATCTATTAGTGATTAAGTGATTTTTAACGATTTATTTTTAAGTTTAGTAATTATTTTAAAAATACCAATAATCAAGAAATTGTATCACAAAACATTAACCAAATCCCGGCAACATTTAATAAAATGGACAATATTCTAGAGGTGTGCAATTGGCTAATTAAGCATCTGCATATATTAAAATTAGCTAGCCAAATGTATATAGTAACTTCAATACCAATTGCAAATACAAGCAAATTTGGAGAATCTTCAAATTCTTGGAATGTAAATTCTGCAAATTCTGGTGATAATAGAGTATATTACTGTACTTATAATCGTCATAATTATAAAGCAATTATTTATATAAACTATGGGGGTGAGTCAATAGAAAAGGGACAAATCGTTTTTAGTGAAATTTTTTTATTTTTAAATTAAAATATCTTAACAACTAATTAATCAAATTTGCTAAAAATTTTTTTATTTTAATCTTGAAATTATATAGAATTAAAATAAAAAAATTTTTATTAAATTTGATAAGATAATTGCCAAAATATTTAAGCCTAAAGTCAAGAAAACTTTTACTTAAAAAAAATTTGTCTCTTTTCTATTGACTCACCCCCATATATAGAATAATATGTATTTATGGGATAAAGAAATCAAATGTCTTTTTCTTCAAATAAGAAATCCATTATCACCATGTATTGATAAATTTGTCAAAAAAATCTTTGGATATTTTCCATATTCTAGTAAAGGAATATATGCTCAATTTAAAACTAGAAAAGCTCTAAATGATTTTCGCTATAAATTAAATCAATCAGTATTAATGCTTGTTACTAACTATAAAAATATGCGAGAAAGGTATAAAAAAAAATTATTTAATAGTTAACCTTAAAATTATATTAACATATTTAACTTATAGGGAAGGTATAACAACATCTTCATTAACAAATGAAGAAATCAAAAATTATATTACTGAAAAAGTGGTCGATGATCTTCTAAAACGTTACATTTCAAAAACAAACTAATCTGAACTTCAGAAGTGTGGATCGCTAGGAAAATTAATAACTTTTATTCGTGAAATATTTTGTATTCACTGGAGAGAAAAAAATATTGCTCAAGTTAAAAACTTGGATAATATTACAAAAAATATGCATATACCTTCAAGAAGTGGTTTAAATATTGCTAGCAAATTTATTATTAATTAATATCATGTCTGTTTAGTTACTTTATCATTATTGCAAAATTTAAACCACATTCTAAGGGACAACCAATTATATGCTCATTTTCTGTTATACTCTTTAAAAACATATATAACTCCATATGGCTGCATGTATATCAACCAAATATATTTATATACTGTAGATATGCAAAGTGTTGTCTTTAATCATGGGAAGCAAAATCTATTATCCGGCATTGATATATTATTATCTTCAATATCGATATGCTATATTCAGAAAAGCTTCCATAGTTTCTCCCTACAAATAAAAAAACTATCTGTTATATTTCCCACATGTCTACATATTCAATAATGTCAGATTGATCATATTAACATGATTCTGATGCAAATAGTATTTATATTTTTGTTTTTTGACCCAAAGATACTATTTATCAATTATGCAATAAAAATTTTCAATATATACATACTAAAGGAATGGTCGATAGGTTTGCACAGATCAATATAATCTCAAACTGATTTGATTTATTATAAATTTAATATTATTAATGTTAGGGTAAACTAATCATCAAATAAAAATAGCAGTACAAATAAGATGATTACGTATATGACAAATATTATGGATCAAGTAATTATTATGACATTCCTGTAATCATTGCAACAATTTGATCATTCACAATAATATCGTTATGAATTGAATCTATACAGAACCAAAGTTACATCTTAACTACAATATTCTCAGTCTCTTTTCTAACTGTCGTCACCTACTTATGATTTTTAAATCAACTTTTATGTGATATTTAGGTTAGCTAGGGTATGAATAACATAAATAAAATATTAGTAAACCACATCCTGTATACCGGAATAATAAGGTTTGTAATATAATTTTTACAATAACAAATAACAGAATTTTCACTGTAACTCAATCTATTGCTTGGAATAATGTTTTGTACAGAATTTTTTTTGAGATAGAAAATACGACTGTTTTATGTTAACACAGATAGAAAAATGGCAAATCAGTATATTTACTGATTTTAGATAAATTAACAAATAAACATCAATAGGCATCCTGATTTGAATCTAATAGGATACTGATTTGAAGATATTAGACAATATTATCATTTGCTGATTTTTTCTGGATTTTGGTGCAAATCAGCCTAAAATAGACTTCAATTGGAAATGCCTATTTGAGCTAATTTATTAATTCGAA